ACTGTGCATTCCAGAAGTCATATGTATAAAACATTGTGTGATGTACGAACTTCTAAGGTCTATTGACTCCAAAATTTCTAATTTAATCTAATATTAACAAAACTTCTTATTTTTTTTGGATAATTCAATAGTCAAACTATCAGTGCTAAAAGTAAATAATTTCTCCAAAACCCAACATAACAATTTCAGAGCTAGTGTTTCACTCCAACATTTCAATTCCCATTCCAACCAGAGTATGCCTCATATGGTACTTTACATCCAATTTGCTGAGTTCCACACCAGTGTTCCACAGAGTAACTTTCTGTTTCTCATTACTGCATTCTCTTTTCCCTCCTGAATGCAGATCTTCAATACAACGTCCTGGTTTGGTTGTAGCCATGGTGTATGTTCCCTTTGTCACTACAGATGCATCTTTCTTGGTTGCCTGTTTGTAATCGAGTGATTGCTCGGATTGTGAACGCTTGTTCCTCATCTCAGTGTGACTGTATTTGGCTTCCTTTAATTCAATCAAGATACAGCCAACTTTATTGACTCTATCCTCTTCTATTCGGTCATCCTAGAAATCGTCAGTGGCAAAACTAAAGCATTCTTTGAGGAATACAAAAACACCAACAAGGTTGAACCAAGACGAAAATCGAAATTGTTAGCATGTTTACATGAGACCAGTATAAAAATCACAAATCTTTTAATTTATATCCCTTGCCTGATATTTCTCTCTGTTTCTGTGAGTATGCGTTGTTCTGAAGCCGAAAGCATAGCCGAGACCAGTCGGAAATGTATTTGTGTTTACATTCATCCTGCACTGATTTCATCCCGGTCTGAAGATAGTCGGTTTGGTTCCAATGAGTGAATTGACTTCAGACTGGTCTGAGTAATTTTTTGTCCTGGTCTCATGTAAACATCTATTATAAATAGTACTGACCAAAATGAAATTTGGTTTGATTTTGTCCCAATTGCAGTCCCATGTAAACAGAGCCTAATACAAACCTTATCTCTACCAAATCGAGGAAGTGAAAAAAGAAATTCTCTAATTTTATCACCATCGTTGAATCCTTTTAGAACACTACATAAATGAAAATATGTATACTTTATTCCAATCCAACAAAAACATGTGAGAAACCAGGAAACAAAAAACAACTCTAATGAAGGTCATCAATTTTTGCCTGTCTGGAAAGTTCTGCATGTTATGGTAAATATATTCTTGACTTGCAACCTACACACATAAGAACACACAGGTTGTAGCAAACCTGTTGCAGACTTGTAGCAAGGCGTAAAAAAAATAGGGTCTGTATGAGCAGCCCGCAACCACCTGGAGAAAATAGGGTCGATAGGTCAATCGCGTTGAAAAAATAATAGGGTCGGCAGAAAAAAATAGGGTCGGTCGGGAACCGGAACCACAGGTATTTTTTTTATGCCCAATGCTGTTCCCGGCTTGTTGGCAAGCTGTCAACGGCTTGTTGACAATTGCTACAAGGTTGCTGAGCTCAACAGACTTGTTACAAGTTGTTCCAACAACTCGTTGTTGACAAGTTTTTTATTTTTATGTGTGCACCCTTGAGAATTGAAAAACAATAAAATGGTGGCCATGTTGACCAGACTAAAATACAATAAAAATCTATTGCTTTTCCAAAAATCTTTGTCCTGTACGCCAAACGGGCACAGTGTTAGCCTTGTGGCACGCCGAATTCCTGCTGGTGGTGTTTCAACAAACGACATTTCAGGGGTGGGACTGCCCGACCACAAACTACTCACAATTTCTTTCCTTGCCTAAGGAAAACACGTTTAACAAAACATCCATCGACATAAACGGCCGCCCAAGCTTCCTGCCATTTCGATGAAGTCAGAGTGATCGCTATTTGGTAAGGAGTAACGGGAATTTTTTGCCTCTCTTCTCTGTCATCGACGAATTCAACTCGCTCTTCGTAATAGGTCGTGTCGTGCATCAAATTTGTCATTATATAAGATTTCCCATCTTTTTCGTATTCTCTAACTGCTTCACCACCGAGCAAAACATAAAACATAAAATCGTCGTTTCTCGGCATTACTTTACAATGACTAAAATCTATTTTATCTGCAAATATAAAATATTGCACGTGGTTTTTATAGTGTTTATGTTTTCTGCTTCGCGCCAAATCAGTATTACTGTAATTTCCCGCCTTCATCTGCAGAATACAATTCGAAAATTCCTTGGCACGAGCTTTAAAATTCCTTAATTTTCCTAAAAATTCCTTATACGAAACTCTCCCATATATTACAGACTTATGCAGAATTCCTGTTTTGAAGGATAAATCCTGATTTTCCGACAGCCGACAAATCGGCAAACATTTTTTGACGTGAAAAGATGCGAATCGCCGCCGCCCTTTTGTCCTAGAACCGACCCTGGAAGAGCGATATAGTTTTAGAAATTGCTTGGTTTTTTGCTTGCTAAAACTTTAAAACATGAACGAAAATTTTGATCGAATCGGAAAGGCGTTCATTGAACAATACTACAAGCTGTTTGACAGCAACCGGGCTGAACTGAAGGTGTTTTATGTAAGTGTGTATATGTATAAAATTATTGTTGATAACTTGATAGCATGCACTGTTTACAAAATCGAATTGATTTTATGATTGTCATTCTAGAGAGATGACTCAATGCTTACATTTGAAGGTGTACAGGCGCAAGGTTCAGTCGCTATCATAGAAAAACTGCAGGTATGCAATATATTTTCCAAGATTTGTATTCAAAGAAATTTTGTATTCAAACTGGGGCATGTGTATATTTACAATAGTCCTTAAAGACCCCTCAAATTGATAGCCTGTAAGATACAAACATAGATGAGCTTGTATCCTTGCCAATGTAAACGTCAATCTGTATGAGGCTAGTGAACGATGGTTTGATGATGTTGAAACCTGTCAAATGCCATTGACAAACATTGAAGTTTCATATTAGAATAGACAATGTCGTAACACACGCTCCCACAAAGTATGTCACCTTGGCTATAGCACCATGTTTTCATGATTGAGACGTTAGGCTTACTAATGTCACGTACACGAAAACGAGGCTCTGTATAGCCAAAGTGACGTACTTCCAGAAGGGTGTTTTGCAACTGTGCATTCCTAGACACAAATGACAGTAAATTAAATGTGTCATCCACGGTACATTTGATTTGGTACCTTTTTCCTTTGTCTAGTCACTGAAATTCCAAAGTGTTCAACACGTAATAACAACTGGTGATTGTCAACCAAGTGCTGATTTTGGAGTTCTAATACATGTAATTGGTCAACTTAAGGTGATTTCATTTTCACCATTTGTCTGATTTATACACAGTACTAGAATTAATTAGACTTGTGTTTCAGTCAACCCTAAGAGGTCGAAAAATGAAGCATGTATTTTTATAGTCACATAGTTTGTTTATTAAACAGTACTTCAAACATTATTCAAATATTCAATGACCAGTATTTTTAATTAATCATTTCATCAAGTGTAGCTAGGTTTCTTGCTTACCCTATTTTTAAAAAAATCCAACCTACCTACTTGCTACTTTTTCTTAGGATAGAAAACCAGAATTTTACATTACAATTTATTTTTGTTTCTTCTAGACTGACAATGACCAACCGCACAGTTTTAGTCAAACATTTTGCCTTAGACGAGATCCAGTGAACCCCACAAATTACTATTGCTATAACGACATCTTCCGACTATCACTACATCATGGTTAGAGATTTGCAAGGATATAATAAGATGAGGCAGAACTGTGAAGGAGTATCATATGTTAAGAGTCAAGATACTATAAACTAAGATATGGCAAAGATAATGATGTTTTAAACTGCTTCCATGATTCAATCGTTAAGAAATGCTTTAGAATAATATCTTTAAAAGCTTATAGGAGCTGGTCAAAACTTGAAGATTAATTATGAAGAAACAAATCTGGTCTTTTGAAACTGTAAATCACATTGACCTATGCACAAATTTTCTTGTCTTATGAATGACAAGTTCTGCCGTGGTTTGCATCTGAACTGTGTGAAAGAGATACAAGGCCCTTGGTCAAAAGGTTAATTAGCCTTGCTGATGAAGGGCCTTCTCTCCAAATATTGAAGTGTTTTTATTAAACATGGAGTTCAGACACCAACCACCATAGCAGCTTACTGTAGAATATCATGAACCATCACTGGAATGCTTACACCTAAGCCAAAAGTGATGACCTGCTCAGAAAAGAATTTTTATACAGGATTATTAATTTTTCTAAGATAATAAAGCTAATTTCTCTTGTAAAAATGTGATAGAAATAGAAGGATTGTGTCACGAGTTAGTTTTGTGTTGTTATTTGGTAGTTATGATATTAGGCCACTAGCCTGCTCACAGCCCAAAATTTCGTTCAAAGGAAAAAAAAAATTTGGGTGGGGTCTGCTGAGCAGGCTATTAGGCCACCAAACTGCTGAAACTCATCCAGAATATACCATTAAAATCTATTTGGCCCCTAGCCTCTATTTGGCCACCCTCTTCTAATAAGACCGGCTAAATAGAGGAAATAAATGACCAAAATATGATTGTTGAAAAAGCATGAAATGTGTTATCAATTTTTCCACTTTCATGCAGATTGTTTTTACAACTAAACATTACTTGTAATGCTTGACATTTATTTAACCGCCATCTGAATCGTTCTAGAGACAAATATACCATAAACAGATAAACTAAAAACTTTCCCAAATGGAAACTTTGAAGTTTTTCTCATACAGCCATAACTTGCGGAGTCATAACTAGCAGACTCCATCTAAAAAATACGAGATGGGAAGAAAACCAGTTCTACTTTCCTCAAGTGAAAGGATTTTTTCACATTGAAAGCAATAATTTGTTGCTCATAAATGGGTGATAAAAAGATCGAACAAAAATCTTTACTTTTTTATGGAAAGGACCACAAATCAGCATTGTACACAACTTCAAATCTGTAATGAATCACCAACATAACATTGTCCATATTACTATTACTACAATGGCTAGCATGAATGCTGAAACTAGTTTGCTCACTTTGGTGTGCCAGATGGTATATTCAATAATTTGAGAAAAGGTGCATTTGTTAAACAGTTGGTCGATGAACATAAAATTTCAAATAATGCCGTTTCTATTTTGATGGCGTTCCTCCAGTTTTCTTTTGCTTTTTCCTCTCAGCTTCGGCTTCCTTTTCCTTTTCAATCTCATCCACAAACTTTTCAACTTCATCTTGTTCCAGAATCTACAGATTTTTAAAAATATTTGTATTTAATATTTTGAAATTGAAAATATGCAAGCTTGAAAAACTCAATCTAAATTGCATTATAGGCACTTAGCCTAATTTATATCAGGATGGATCCATCTTTCTAAAGGTCATCTTAATTTTTGCAATTACCTACTGTAGCTCTGAAATCACTTGGCTCTATATCCAAAACTGTGTTGCAAGACTTGCAAGGTGCAGCAAAAATTGCCTTGTAAATTTGGCCTGAAACTAACTAAAATTGGCAAAGACAATAATTTACTTATACTAACTCGTAATGGCTCATTTCTTTTCATAATAGCTAGTTCTAAATTCTTTGCTCCAGATTGAACAACCTAGAGTAGAAAAACAAAAATTGCCATTTATTTACAACTAAAGTAACACAATATACAAGTTATCGATCAGCATAGCTTGTATCTTAATTATTAATCTGGTAATCATAGTTAATTATTGGTGAATTAAAATATTTTGAACTTACTTCTAACAAAGCTTTAATCGCTAATTTGATAGTTTCTTCATTAGATGCAACTAACTCTGTGGTATAATGTTTCTCCAAGAATTCTAAAACAGTCTTTGCACTTCGGCCTATTGCTCCGGCCTGGATGAACATAATTTTACACAATAAGTATAACAGGTATTAACTAACAGAGTAATAAATAAAGAAAGTAATTCCAATTATCATGTCCTCTAATGTCAATTCCCTGTACTCCCAAAACAGATCTATCGCACCCACGAGTAAAACACTATGCCATACCTTCCACTCATGATAAGTACCAGAAGGATCTGTCTGATATAAATGTGGTGTACCATCATAATCAAAACCTACAATTAACGTTGATATACCAAATGGTCTTCGGCCATTACTTTGAGTATATTTCTGAATAAAACAAGTGAGTCAAACATTTAATCAACAGCTTTTGTTACAGTCAAACCAGATGTTCTCTTGCAAAGAACATTGCAATATTGTGGGACAATATAATTAATTGCAATGTTGCTTGCAAAACATCCAGTTTGACTGTAAAAATATCATTCTCATATAAAACTTCCATGTTCTTCAAGATTATTTGAGAGGTTTGACAGCCAATCGCAGGGCTTGAAATAACAGCCAATCACCGATCAGCAAGAAATTGTTTGTAATCGGCGGAAAAAGCGGGTTTTCAAATAAGAATAAGCAGCAAAAGGCATGACTGCCGATCACCATGATCAAGAACGTTATTTCAAGCCCTGCAATTACATTTAACCAACGTCATGATGTTTGACTGAGTCCAGTAATTCACCTTTACATGCTTGTAACAAACACGTTTGTCACAAGAGATTATAGAGAAAGCTTAATTCAGCAACATTTATCACAAGAGATACTAGTAATGTTTTGTTGAAAATAAAGTAATAATCATTTATATTATTGCATACATTAAGTATTTTGTTTTAAGAGATATGATTGGACGGTGATCACATGACTTTCGAACACGTTGTTCTCTCTCCTGATCGTATGTGTCGAAGCGCATATATTGTATTCATGTATCGTATGTAAAACGTTTATATTTCATATTAAATAACATGGTTTTTAACAGGTTATGGGCCCAGGTGCCGCTTGAGTGTACGATACGTATGTCTTAATTGACGGGAATAATATAGTGTGTTTACTGAAGCGTAAACGTGC